CAAAAATGACTGCAGATATTGCTGCAAAAGAGAGGTTGAACTTAACCAGGTGACATCAAGCTGAAGTCAAAGTCACTGAAAGAGTTGATGATGGTGAGGTGGAACCAATTATAGATATTAAAGCAGAACAGGAGAAAGACCAAGATTTGAAGCCAACAGTTGATTTTCTACAAGCAAGTGTTTTGCACCCTGCTTGGGAGAAGGTGTCTAGCTTAAGTCCTGTGACAAAGAACTATTGGGCACAAAGAGACCAGTTGAAGCTTGAAGATGGTATTCTTCTCCGGAGATGGGAAACTGCAGATGGGAAAGTGGCGACCTGGCAAACAGTTATACCGAAAATGTTATGGGAAGTTGTGCTGCGTCAATCCCATGATAGTTTAAAAGGAGGACATTATGGAGTTAAGAAGACATTGAGTCACCTACGGCAGAGATTTTACTGGATAGGTATGAGGCCAGATGTGGAAGAAATGATGCAGGACCTGCAGTACATGTTGAGCTAAAAGCGGACCCAAGCATAAGGGACGTGAAATTGCATGTTTCTCATGAAACAATGCGTAAGCATCTAAGGAATATGGGAAAACTCCTTAACGAAGGTGCTTGGGCGCCTCACGAACTCTCAGATGATCCTCATTTCCAACGTATGAACGTTGCTTCGTCTCTTCTGACATGTAATGCGCGTGAACCAGTTTTGAACAGAATTGTCACTTGTACTCTAATAGCCTCCACAAGGCGACAAGACAAAGCCACTTCAACCACAGTCTGATGGGAGGGTAGAAAAGTACAATTGGACACTGGGGCAGGTATTGGCAAAGTCTTGTGATTGTCACCAAGATGACTGGGATGTCTTATTCCCTCCACTGTTGATGGCTTGTAAAACAGTAGAGCATGAAGCCACTGGATACACTCCAGCAAAGCTGATGTTTGATCAGGAACTTCAGTTGCCAGTGGACCTGATAACAGGACATCCACCTTATGAAGAGTTGCCTGAAAATGTGTCAGAGCTCATGAAAGTGCTATCTGAAAGGATGGATGATATTCATCATCAAGTGCGTTCAAACTTAAAAACGTCTGCTGATTCCATGAAGCTATGTTATGATAAGAAATCTGCTGAAGTCATATTTGTACCAGAAGACAAGGTGTGGTTGTATAATCCCAGGAAGACCAAAGGGAAGTCTCCTAAGTTGTCTTCTCCATGGGAAGGCCCATATGACATAGTGGATCATCACTCAGGCGTGACTTTCCGAATAAAATGTGGTCGGCGGGGTAATCCAAAGGTGGTACATGCCAACAGGCTTTGGTGTTATCACAGTCCAGGATATTTCAGTTGGAACGAAATGAACAACAGATCAAATGACGCTGCTGAAGACGTGTCATCTGAAAAAGCCACTGTTGAAGAAGAAACTCTACTCGGTTTTGAGAGGGAAAACAGTGAATCCCTTAATGAAGTTACAACCAGTAATCTGACTGCTGCCAATAATGGGACCTTACCTGATGGAGCAGAAGAATCCCACGTGAAGCAGAAGCCAATGAGACGGAGATCAATACGAAAGAAGAAACATCCTGTAATATTAAGATACTTTGTTGTATTTTAATTTTGTGTTTGTAAATTCTGTACATTTAATTAAGTCATTGTTGATTATCTATTGGTTTAATGTAAGTGGCTATTGTTCGGGACGAACAATACTAAGGAAGGGGCAATGTTACGTCAGCGGAAGTCACGTGACGCTGCTGGCGCATTGGCGCTAGTGGCGCGTGTGATGAGTTTCTCGAATGATCAGGGAAGTCCGAGTGTTTTGGAGATGCCCTCTTCATTAGTATATGAGCCTGTCAGTGGAAAGCCAGTACGGTGGCGGGATATATAAATGAAGAGAGAACAGTAGTTACTTTGAGTTCCGTGTAATTTATGATTCTGTTAGCTTCGAGCTAGTGAACCGTAAAGTGTGTGTCTTGCACTCGTCGAGAGTGAAGTTATCAATATTGTGAAT